CCCCCCCCCAACAAGTAGCGGAGCTGCGTTCCGTACGGTGCGGTGGCTAGAACACGGCTCACTTTTTGATAAATGGAGCTTGTCGCTCGTTTCGTACGGCGATAGCAACGCACTAAGTGAAACAAATGTTTGCGTGGTATATCGGGGCGTGGTTAAACTCCGTTTGATGTCGAAAAACGGCGACACAAACACGTTTACTATCCCCACCAAACGACTGTTTGTCGACCGTTGGCCGCACGAACTTCATCTGTTAAGAGCCCTGCCAACACGTCAATCGACAGCACGCCATTGCACGCGCCGGTACGCTAGGTCGACATGGATATGCGAGGATGGTGGTGTGGTGTCATGGATCTGGTGGTGGTGGCATCGACTGTCGTCATGTCAAGAAGGGCACTCTTTCGACATCGGCGACGATTCAGTATAGCATTTGCCCGATTGTCGATGCCCAAATTAGACCCGTTTTGATCATGCCGCAGCACAACCACCGCAAAAACAAGCCGCGTGGGTTAGGTTTCCGGGTGTGTATTTCCTACGGCGAGTCTTCTCGTCGTGAGAGTCAGGGCACCATAAGAGCCAGGGCACCGGAGATGGCCCTTTGCTTCCTCATGATGACGCCTTAACTAATTATGTTAGCATCTTCCACTGAATATTTACTCTGCAGTCGGGCAGCCCCGTAGAGACAAAAGCCATCCTGAGTCCTTGTCGGTGCGGGGTATGTGGCGTGGAAGACGAGGCCCAATGCCCGGTCAGTTCCAGACACGTCTGACGGGCCAGACAGAGGCAGCCATGTAACCCCCGTGTCGGCGCGCTCACGTGGGGCGGAAAGACGAGGCCCAATGCTCGGTCAGTTCCAGACACGTCTAACGGGCTAGACAGAGGCAGCTATATGACGACAGGGTGAGTCGGCTGGATCCGGCTTGGGAGGGAAACGATCCTATGTCTGCCCGCGTCGCCAGACTTGCTGGTGAGAAGGTGGATTTGGGAGATTGGAAGTGGAGAGGGAATTCATCAGCGTAATTGTAGCATTGGAGTGCCGGTGATGTTTTTGTTGTGGTGTGCCGTGCGTTGTGTTTCCAAGTGAAACGGTGCGGCATCACATGCATCGCGGGGAAGTGGCGCCGAACCCTCCCTCTCGGCCAGCTACATGATGGTAAAACAAACATGGTGCCGACAAAAAAAATCAACGGATGAATGGTTAGCGAATGCTGGCAAGATGCGGAGGCCGGGCACGGCTGTTGTAATGCTTCTTTCAAGCAGCCGTTGCAACGTCAAGAGTTCCTGAGGCCTGGGCTAACGAGGCTATTCCCATTGCGACCGAATGAAGAGTTCAGCGGCTGGTGAATTACTGTTACGACGCATGATGGGTGAGGACGGCGAAAAAGTCGACCTCCAGGCGTGATGACATTTTTTGAAAGCATCTGTGTACCCTGGAGTCAGCCGTTTGATGACTTGAAGGTAACGCTACGAATGTATGGATGTCAGTCCATGTACCTAGATGTCCCAAATGAAAACTACCAACGGTTTAAGCACTGTTTCTGACCGGTCAGCATGGTCTAAATTGATCCACATGAATGGAACAGGTTTTCCTAAAAGAAGGCAGCTGCAGGCAGCAGAGTAGTCCTGTGTGACACCGCTAGTGTTGAATAGACACCTACTTTGATCACTCCGCACTTGCACTCTCCACACAGAAATAAGCTCAGCCAGCCAAGCGATGCGGTTTGATTTTGCGGTGTTCATAGTGCCAGGGTGTAGTGCAGTGGGGATGGTCTCGAACATCGGCGGCCGATGTGGTGATACTGGTTCACTACCATCGTCACAACACTCACGTGTTAGTGCTGAGTCGGCCGTATAAGTGCAGAGACGAGGAATGGCGCGACAGCATGCGAGACAGCCGGTGGTGAGACGCTGATCATGATAAAATCTGCCGTATTGAGCCGGTCCTGGAACTGGCAGCAGCACACATCGTGTGTCAGGCAGCAGGCCTTGATCAAATTGCCAGTATACATGGGCCACATATCAGGCCTGGACATGATAGGAAAGAAACGAGTAAACCACTTCCGACGCGGCTCCGATGACTGCTATGTGGTTTGCATCCATCAGCGCGGATTTTGCGTTTAGATCAAACCATTTTGTCATCGATGTTGGCTGCTATGCATGAAAAGGGAAGGAAACAGAGTTATATGGTGTGCATCCATCAGCACAGATTTCGCATTTCGATGCAACTATTTTGTCATCGGTGTTGTCTGGTATGCATGCAAACAGAAGGAAACGGGGCATTTTCTTGGTGTTCTTTTTTCTGCTCCTTTACGATTTTGTCATGTTGAGTGTGAATAATTGCGTCCGCAGGCCATAGACATATGGATGGGTGTGTGCACGGGCTTCATTTTCGCTGCTCTGCTTGAGTTCACCCTGGTCAACTATCTCTGGAGGAAGCGCCCGACGCTTCAGGAGTTCCAGAACGCCATCTCCAGGGAGCACGAGCACCAAGACCTGCACGACGAGAACAACTGGACCAATGTCAAGGTCAGTGACCGCGAGCGGAGGCGCGCATTGCACCACATCTGCTGCGGATAGCTGCTGTGCGGCACCTGCCGTCAGCGTGGGTTACAAAAATGTCCAAGGTCGACGTCAATCGCCCGCGGCATTCGCATGTCATTTGGCCAGCAGTTCGCCCAGTGTCGGAATGCGGCATGCATCCATATGCCACGCTGACCGCACGCCTCCCTCTCACGTGGACGACCCGCTTCCAGAGCAAGACGAAGCACCACCCGCACCTGCTCTTCCACGAACTCCAGAAGACGGAATCCAAGAAGCAGGCGCAGAAGATCGACGAGATCTCCCGGATCATCTTCCCGATCGGCTTCCTGTGCTTCAACGTCGCGTACTGGCCTTACTACATGCTATGAGCCGGCGCGCCTGTGCCCGGCCGCGGGCGGCGGCCGCGTGCGGACGGCGGGCCGCAGCGCTGGTGCGGGCACCGTCGCCTGTTGCGGCGGCGCTGTTGAGCGGGGTCGATACGTCCGGCCCGTGGGGTGCGCGCTGTCGACCTCGCTGAGTGACTCGGACATGGGTGCCGGCGCAGTCGCATGTATATTTTTACGCGGTGTGAAAGACGCCTGCGGATTTGGAGATGTGCCAGGTAACAAGCTGTTGCTCAAGCGCTCAAGGGCGGCCGGTTGGGAGGCCCCGGAAGCTGTTGCTGGGAGCCGGGTCGGCGCGGCCGGCCCGTCACGCTGTGATGAATGAGGCCGCGGCCCACCGTCTCACCCGTAGGTATATATCAAGGTGCGGCGCAGAATCAGGCTGCCGAGGCGGGAGTCTTCCTGAGAGCCGCGCGGCCCGAAGCTGTGCCGGACACCATCGAAGGACAGGGAGGTACGCGTCATTGATGTGTGGCAGAGGGAATCACCAGGAGAATAAATTGTTCCTGTCCATCCATCGGCCAAATTGCCTGGCCTGATCAGATTATTTCCCGCATGTGCATTGCCCCGCGCAAAAACTTGCTTTGCATAACGTCGATTTTTTCCATGGCTGCCGTCCAAAATACATGGACGACTCGCGACTACAGGATATCCATACAGAATTACATGTTTGGATGTTAGTAACGTGTGCTTCAATACGACACGGTAATATAACAGTCACGATTCCTTTCAGAGCGTCCCAGAGTTTGTTGGCGGTGTCCGGGTCCGCCTTGGCCAGAGCAGCTCAACAGACCACCAGTGCGAGACGGCACGCGCCCTTACCCACCCGCAGCGTCGCAGAGTCCAGCCGGGTCGTGAGAAGATCGTCGTCGGCCGCGCGGCGAGCCGTCGACCCGCGTGACCTTGCGCGCGCCCGGCGCCGGCACCGGCCGCCGCCGGGGCGTCCAATCGGCGCGGAGTCGCCGCCGGCCCGCGGGATCTCGCGCCGGCCGTCTGATGGCCCTACTCGCCGTGTCCCGGCGGACGTCGCCGCGCGCTCTGGCACGTCCGAACGACGCAGCTGCGAGGGCGCCCGACCGAGTAAAGTGTGGTTGGTACTAGGGCTGCCGCGAGCCGCCGGACGGCGACGTCGACCGCAGGGCGGTGGCCGCGTGCGAGTGAGTACACGTGCCGGCGTCCGGTGCAGGATAGTGGCATTCAAGCGTGCCGCCGCGGTCGGTCTGTGTGAGGTGATGGGTCGACGGCGGTGGCTGGGGGGACTTGGGAGGGACGGGTCCAGTCAAAAGAAGGCCGATGGTACGGAAGGCGACGTGCGTGTGACAAGACGGGTGGACGAGACAGGTTTGCGAACTCGATGGGCTGTGGCGCTGCCGGTCCCGGGGGCGTGTGATGGGACGCGTGCCGTTACCGTGGTCTAACGGACGCTGCAGCGATGTTGTGACTAACCGAACTCAACTTGTCATTGCTGTACGATATTGTCAAAGGTGTGACGTCACACCTGTGTGTGACGCGTGATGCCGGGAGCGTGGAATGCGACAACTAACGGAATGGGTTCAGGACGGATTGATTGCGCCGGCTTGGTATGTCCTATAAGTTTTGTAGTCGCATGCGTAAGTCGGTATTACCTTGTGAAACATTTCCGATATGCACACGGCGATCCTATCTTCCAGAGTTCATACCAACTGTAGGCTATACCTAGCTTGTAAAGGTATTTAGTTGTATATAGTTCCTCCCACGGTTACCTATGTTTTACATTACCAACGCATGTGTTTGCTTTTTGCGTTCGGATCATTGCGCATTTTCAGCGCCGTAGACGAAGAATGCTTCTTTGTGTCGTTTTGAGAAATTTCGATCTGTGGCGCGCACTGGGAGTTAGCTATGTTTCGGTATTGGGACATCTAGATGAAATAATAAACAGTACTCTCGTGTTAGCGCTATTCTTTTCCTGAATCCTGCCACTCAGCAGGTTACAATGGGTGGCGCCTAGTGGACGGAACCGGGTGGCATCTGATGCGGGCTAACGCTAAGAGAGGTGACTATGACCACACGGCTCACGCACGTACTCTTGACACAATCGGGGCTTGGTCCAAACATGCTCAACTCATTCAGTGCGCTGTAGACGCAGTGTTTGTAGTGCCCTGTAAGATCCTGGCAGTTACGCGGAGTCAGCGAGCGTTCAGTGATGGCAGTGGGATCCCGTAATCGATACACGTCATGTTCGAGCTGATGGGCATGCCGACCTTACACGCCAGCTGTCTTGATTTGAGTATGTGAAGCAATGATTCATCATTTGCCGGGAGGAGTTTGTCCCTCCTGCCCTTAGATTTTTTTCACTACAGCTCCGGCACAAACGGCGGCAGCAGCCGAAAGCCATCGATGGTTTCATAAAATGCTCAACGCACCTCACGAGAACGGTCACTTTGTATTTAAAGAGGAGGCATCTCGAATATGTGCTTTATTGGCGTTTACAGCATGCCCGCAGTTAGTTAATACATGAACGTTTAAAGGATTTCAATGGCTCTCATCAGTCTCATATGTGCCGATCACCGTTAAGGTAAATTCAGAGCTCAAAAACTTTATACGCTCAGTGGCGGACATGCTAACCTAAAAAGCAGGGAAACACATTTGTAGAATTTGTCATCTCTTAGCTCACGCCCAGCCGGAAAGGCTTGTATAAATCGGGTTTGAACTGCCAGCACTACACGAAATGATGTCAGCAGGAATACGGGTGAAATCGAAGTTTGAAATAAGAAGATACACGACCCTCACAAAAGGCAAGATTAACGTGAAGCCTGACGTGCAAGAGCAGCCGCAAGATGAGAGTATAAAGCACATGGGCAGCACGAGGTGCCCAATAATAACACCGAGGACAATCTGCATGAGGCTTGAAGGACAGCAGGAATGTCGGCATAGGCCATGCCGACATGTCCTGTGCTTGTAGTCCTGGATCGAAACATTGAGACATTCCACAAGGGTTTCTACCGGTTTATGACATTTCACGAGATGCGTGGAAATTCCAGAGACCAGCAGGAGTCCCATCAGCCAGCAGAACAAACTAACGGGCTTGTTGGTGCTACCAATGCAGAAATTGGGAAGTCATATTCAAACGTTTATCTGAACAGTTTGGTCCAGGTTAGGTTAACAAAGCAACAAAGCACATAAGCCAGAAAACTCAATCAGGCCAATTATTTCTCAAGTGCCTGCACTTTCCTCCGCTTTGGCTAAGACTCTCAACGCTCTTGTATCACCGCACGTTTCTCCAAAATGTGTCAAAAGTCTAACGAATAGTTTCGGCTAGCCACGCAGCAACAAGAGAGAAAAGGTATGCGTGCTTGGCTTAACGCACAGAGCCTCTACACCAACGTGCTGATCGACGATGCCATCCAGGTCGTCCTCGATTACACCCTCATCCATGATCCATCCAGGTCAGCTCCCCGCTTGTCCCAAGGAAAACACTGTCCGAAATTTGAGTGCGGGTCCTAAGAGCGCTTCGTTCAGATGTCATGAGCGCACTCGGCCTTACTAAGCAGGCGGAGCGGCAGCAGGGTCGCCCTCTCGAACCTGTATGCACTAAGCTAAATGTGTTTCAAAGAGGAGAAAGCCCTCCAAGCAATTCATTCACGCAGTGCCGTTATGTGGATGACATCTTTGTGGACATAAGTGATGAGAGCCAGCTTCAACTTCCAAAGAGCAAGCTTGAGAAAGCTTCCGTGCTGAAGTTCACCTCAGAGGAGAGTGTCAACAGTAAAATACCATTTCCAGATGTTGACGTGGATGCGTCCGCTGAAAACTTCCTGGGTCAAGTGCGCGGAAGGTCGACAAACACCGGACACTGCCCGAGCGGACGTAGCGAGTGTCCGGGACGCTACAAAAATAGCGCTGTCCGCGACTTCATGCATCGGACGTTGAATCACTGCTCCTGAAGATGATGCGACGAGAGCCACAGTGAATTGCAGAAATCCTCGCTAAGGATTGATAACACCGACGCTGTATTGGAAAGACAAATTATAAGACAGATAGCCAAAATCTGCTTACCATTGGTTGACAACCAACAAGCCTGGCAGCCCGCACGCGTTTTTCCTATTTCACACCATTTCGACGTCCTTAAAGCATAAGAGAGTGCTGCGGGACATTATTATCAAGAACAGAAAAGCACGTCAGCTGGAGGACCACATCCAACTAGAAGAATCCTGGTCATGATGAAAACTCTTCGCAAGATCGATCCAAGCTGAAATCTACCGACTTGGTACAACAATTGTAATGCATCACCGGTGACTCTGCGTACCGTTCTGAATGCTACAACGCTGGCCACGCAACAACGTTCTCAAGAAGAACGATCATGTAGCACAGCGACCCTGAGAAACTACTTCGCGCTTTGTCGCGGACACAATGCGGAACTCACACGCAGGTTGTTAGTGGAGAGCGCGGTAGTATTACTGGCGCTGCAGGCCAAGCGGTGCTGTAAAACGCAGAGATAGCAGGGGAGGGAGGCTGAGTTGTGACACATGCTTTCTATTTGCAGAGAACGCCACGGTCGGGGGCGTAGCAGCCGAATGGTTAATGCGTCCAACTCCCACGTCGGGGACCGGGGTTCAATGCCGGTTGCGCCGCGGTCCCTAAATGCTAGCATGGTCAATGCCGATGTCAGCACTCCGTAAAAGGGGTGTATGCCCGTGCGCTGCGTTCTCCTTAACAAAGAATAGGGGCGCCTTTCCTACCGAACCCTGAAATGACTACTGTCGCGGTCTGCGCTCTTAAACGACAGTGCGATAAAGTGCGCTCAATAACAGTTGTGAATTTTGAGGTCAAGAAGACACTTTCCTTGAAAACCTCTGTGCGCGTTGTCACTGATGATTTATTACAGCTCTCAACTTCCTTTTGAACCAGATCATTTGGGCACCCACATTGTGGTGCCTACCGCTTATAGGGACGAAATGGTATTTAGGGTCATAGATCAAGAGTGGTGAGATAAGGTTTCCTCATCT